TGGGCCGACTTCCGGGCAGGGTATCTCCTTTTGCTGTGCAACACTCCATACCAACGGCATCCAAGCTGGCTCCCGACCCTCCGGCCTGGTGAGCCAATTGTACTGCACTAGCAACTGCACCTTGGCCTCCACCTCCAGGACCCCTTTGAAAAGAGCCATGCGCTTGGAACACTCCGTCTGCCCCACAGCCTGAAGCTCTTTCCACTTGACCGAGAGAGCGTTGATGGTCACCAGCATGGTCTCCTCGCCCTTGGTTTTGAAAATCATGGTGTATGCACGATCCACCTGAAGAATCTTGATGGAGTCCTCGTGTCTCAGGCAGAGTTGAGCAAGGAGTGGTATCAGGGAGCCCTCCGGATCTGGCGCCGAAGAAACTCCTGAGGTCTCTCGCAGCCTTTTGGCCTTTTGGTGTTTGCCCTTGCCCTTCCCGTTGTCCATCCCTGCATGCTGCCTCTGGAACTTGGCTGGTCTCTCCGGCTTTTTCGAAACATCCTGTGACCCCTGTGCTCGACCTGACTGCGGTGTTGCCGGCGGCCTGCGATCCTGAAGCTGGGTCGCCTGAGCTCCCAGTTGGCCCGCTAGAGCCCCGTTCATGCTCACTGCTGGCAATACAGCCCCGAAGAGTGAGGCGACCCCCTCCTTGGTGAGTTCCGTCATGTGCTCTGCAGGCAAGGGCAACCTGAAACAGCACCGGGCATCCTACAGCATGACGCGGCTTTTTGGTGAACGGCTGTTCACAGAACTCACACGGACTACTGATGGCACCTGTGAGGCCGCGGCAGTCGGCCAAGGCTTGCTCTTGATGTGCTTCGAAGAGGGCTTTATGAGACTGCTTGAGATGGAGTTTGATGTGTCTGGAGTCTGAGAACCATTGCCTACAGAAGCAGCAACGCGAGGTAAGCTCGACCCTAAGGTCAGGGGTCGTACGCAAATTGTCGAGCAGTGTATGCACCCCACCGGCTGCGATATCTGTAAGTAGCGACACTCTTTGAGCCACAGGTTCAGGCTCCAGCACTTGATTGGGCGTACCGACGGCAGTGGCAGCAGTCTCAACTGACGCTTGCACATGACTGTGAGGTGTCTCTGCCTTTGGCTGCAAAAGCGCACGAAGAGCAGGGCATCTATCATATTCCACATGTTTCAGCAATGTTCTGAAGTGGTGGAACCTCTTGTTGCATCCTCTGCAGATTGGCATCCCATCTACGCAAAAGTCATGGCGAGAGAGTGTGCTGAGGTCTATGGGAGGAGCGGTAACAGTTACTGGGTGCTTACGTGATTTATGCTTACGCATGGACGTCTCGCAATCAAAATAAATACCGCACTCAGGGCACGCAACACCTTCAGTCGGGAGGATACGCTCAAGCCTACGACAACCTTTGGTTGCATCCTGCAGTTGCTCACGCGCCCAACCGGCCTGCTCCTGCAGTGCAGGGCTCTGCATGACAGTGTCTGGCGTACCAATGGCGAGGGCCAGGCGACTCCGAAGATTGTCAAGGACCTGTTTAAGGAGCTCAACCGGGTCCGGCATACCCAGCATAGCATATACCTCCTGATTACTGGTCTGTGTGATATGTCTGGGGGACCTGGCTACCGCACGGAGCTGCGTGTTCACGAGCCCCAGCACCTTGGACAACACGTAGCTGGAGCAACCACAACATGTCCAGCCGTAGACCAGGGTGGTCCAAATACATGTGCGCCAAATGCGTGCACGCCGTTTGAGGCTCAGACATCTGGTGGATGTCAAGACACTCCGCAGCCTTGAGAATTGATTCTTAGCCGACTCCATGCGATGGTTCACCGTAAGGCTTTCAAAGTCGTAAAGGGAAATGACACAGCCTAAGTACACATGTGTCTTCTTGACTGGAATATGGAGCGGTGTGTCCTGCAGCCAGCTCAAGTATGTGCCTTTGGCCGTTGTGTGCATATGCTGATCAAGCAACCTGCGCCCTTCGTGGTGTGCCATGCGTATGAGAAGGGCAGTTTTACCCACATTGACCTTAAGACCAAAAGAGGCAAGTTTGGAAAGAAATTTTGGGATGGTCCGCAAAGCTTCAAGGAACTGCTGCTTCGTATGAAAGATTCTGCTCAACAGGAAATCATCAGCGTACATTTGAAGGTCCTCAAGAGAAATCAATGGTTCCAATTGGTACGCAACATAACATGTGAAGCAAGTGCAAATCAGTGGGGATAAAACACATCCCTGTCTGATGCCACGTTCAGTCATGATTTTAAGGTTAATGTGAGCATGTTGCAAGTGATAGGTGGACTCGGTAAGCCATGCCATGATTATTTGCACATCTCGTCCTCCTACCCCCGCTGCCAACAATGAGTCACGCACCATAGCTCTGGGTACCGCGTCGAATGCCATCGACATGTCGAGGGACAACACATATCCTCCGGTAAATGATGCGGTAGTTTGTCCGGATCTGCGTGCGAAAATGCTATTGCCAGCCTGCTGTGTGAGTAGTCTGATACGGCGGCATCTGGCAAAGACACACAACAAAGCTGTTTCAGTGGACCTCTGAGAAAGGTACGCATGTTGCGGGCACCTAGATGCATATGCCTTCACCGTGTCTTTGATGTTGCACGCCAGTAACTTAACAACCGCTTTACCGCATGGATCCTGAAGGCACAAAGGACGGAAATCGCCAGGGCCACGGCCTGGCTTGTTGGGCTTGCGCTGTAGTACGAGCCAGCCGTCCTTCCAGTGCTGCGGCACACTCGCACCGCTCCAGATGGTCTGGACAGTCTTGTGCACATACGGCGCTAGGATAGTGGCCGCTGCACGCCATGCCGCACCTGGCGCGAAGTGCGGCGGGACCGCTTTCCGTAGTGGCGTTTGTTCTAGAGCCCATTGGACGGCCTCCAGTGTGGGCGGCTCGACGTGCTCATCACAGGCATGAGTCCACGGCTCAGCACTGCCTTGGAAGATGCTCTGAAAGTGTTCACGGAGCCGATCCGCTTCAGCTTCCCTGCTCAGGATTTCGCCTGCCACCCCGTAGATCTTGACCCTGCGGTAAGGCTGCTTCGGTGCAAGTTGTCTGATAATGGCATACAGCTTGTGAGTATTGTTTTGGGAAGCCTGTTTCTCAGCCTCCTGCAGAAGATGCTCGAATCGTTGCTTGCGAGCCTGCCTCGACGCCCGGTTGGCCTCACGCCGCAGTGCCCGAAACCTGGCAAAGTGATGCCAGGCTTTCCATGCGCTTGCCAAACTATCGGCTGCCTGTCGCCGAAACATCCTGCCCAATTGCAGGTGTCTCCACCTGTTGCTTACAATCTGCTGTACCTCCTCATGTTGATGAGGGTACTCACGCCTAACCGGAACCGCTGGGAAGTGCAGCACACTGCAGTCATACAGCACTTGATGTAGGTCCTGAGTGCTAGTGATCACTCGGTGCTGTAGTGCCTGCTGCACGTCCTCCCTGAAGGCTTGCAGCTGGGGTAAGCACTTTTGCACAGCAATGGCCAGGGCGTCAACATTCACCCTTCGACATGCACAGGTGTGAGCTTGGGGTTGCCAACGGTAGTCAAGAGCAACAGCAAGCGGCCTATGCAACCCTGAATGGCGCCACGCAGTGACGGGAAATGCCTGCAAAGGCTTGCACAACCTCATCCTACTGGTAACCTGGTGCCTCCTTACAAACACATAATCAATCTGGGTGCGACACCCCTGATGCTCGAAGGTGAACGCCTGTCTTTTCGGACCTGACCATGTATTGAGGGCAACCAGGTGCCTTGCAATCATGAGATCGGTGAGGGCCTCCTTTTCCGGTGCGGATTGACGCTGCCCCGCAGCGTGAGCAGTGCTGTTGCCTACCATCCCGTGCGCGGGGACGAGTTGCACATTCCAGTCCCCCGCGCATACACAAAGGTTGCGCCACGGCACCTGCTGGATGCAAGCATCCACCTTCTCAAGAATCCTGGCACGCATTCGCCGCAGCTCCGCAGCATCTGCTCGATTGTCCCAAGCATGTTGATAGACATTGATGATGTCTAAGTTGCTACGACCGCCTGGCGCCGGAACCCGGGTGTGTAATGCACGACCGGCTACGACTTCGCAAGATCTGACGTCAGCAGCACAACAGAGATCCTTAGAAATTAACGTCATGACCCCAGACCCCTTCTGCTTACTGTGACCGGAGTGGACAATGAGCCACTTCTCATTTTCCCACTCGGAGCTGAATTGCCACCGAGTTTCCTGAAGTAGAACCACTTTGATATTGCGATTCTGTGGCAAAGAAAGCCAAATGATGAGTTCATCAAGGATTGGGTTTGAGAGGCCCCCTACATTCCAGCTAAGAAGACAGACATCCGAACCTTGCTGATCAATAGGAGAGCGGCGCCTGCGAGAGAACGTGGACACCGATGGATCTCCATGACCTTGCATGCCGGCCAGCTGCTGTAAGCTAAGGGTGCGTCCCCTGTAACGTGTGTATCCCTGAGTTTGCGCACGAACCATCGCACGCTTGTAGGCTCGTTTCCTGGCTTGTGTAAAAACTGGCTGGGTTCGAATGTCCAATATCCCACTAGGCTTCGCCGCCTGTTGCGACAACCTTCCTGGATCCGCTTGTTCTCGGACTCCAGCTGCCGGTGTGGAATCGACAGCAACCCTCGCACCAACAGCAGGCAAAATGAGATGATGTGCTATGCAGATGATGAAGAACCAGAGGTGCACAGCTCGAACAGGTATGCATCTCCAAACCGGCCTGCTGCCCACGGATTTGGGACCGTGGCGACTCCTGATGCTGTTAAGGCTCGGGGTCAGGGCGCAAGCAGCGCTCCCGCGCAGCGTATAAGGCGTCCGCTGAGTGTCGCACCGTTTGCGCGAACTTCTGCAAAACCATAGAACCCTGAGGAATCCCAGACAGGCAAACCAGCACAGCGTTAGCACTTCTAAGCCTGTATTGAGTCTGAGACATAGGCCTCGACGTCTCGGCCGCGCTAACACTCGCAAGTGCCCAGCAGGCTTGCACACACAGGTTGGGGGTTCATGGGCATTCTTATGGGTCTGGGTCGGATGAGCAGGATTCTGTATCAAGCACTGTAGAGGCAGAGCTCTCCACTTCAGAGTCGCTGTCAGCCGGCATGGGATGCAGCAAGTCCGCAAGTGGGATAGGTCTCGGCATGCTACGGACGTGTTGTGCCACCAACCTGTAAATGTCATCATAAAACTGCTCTCGATGATCTCCCTCCAAGAAGTGACGAAACATGTCCAGCGTACCGGCCATATCTGTCTCAGCAGCCGCACGTTCCAGTTGCACAATAATGGCACGTCTCGCATCAGCGTCTGGGTTGTCGTACTGCTGAAAATATGCATGAACTCCAATGTCTGTGATAGCCCATTTGGGAATTCCACGAAAACAGAGATAGAATGCCAGTTGTCCTGTGTCCAATGCTTCGGAGATTTGCCGCTCCAGGATTGGAGTAGCGCGTCGCCTATCTTCACTGGCTGTGCAGGCGAGAGCCTGCGCACTGTTCCCTTCTCGTGGCTCCGAATCTTGCAGATATCTGAAAGCCTCGTCCATCCCGCCCTCGGCGCGGGTGCAGCGTTAAAAAACAATGCAGTCTGTCCAGTCCAGAAAAATTCACCCAGGAAACTGAAAAGCAGCAGCAATGGCAAAACCATGTATGAATGCAGAGCCGGAAAGTGTTGTACGATCCAGGAACACGGCTGCACTCACTGCTCTGTATGAAAAAGGCACTCCAGAGGCGAAGCAATGCTGGAGATACCTATGGCTGCCCTCCACTACGCCACAGCAGGTCGGCCCGCTGCGCTACCTGAACCAGCCGGGTGCGCCCAGGCGCTGATCCAGGGAACTGCAAGACTACCCCGCCCCAAACACTACAAACAAAACTTGAGCCGTGGTGCTTGAGGCGCAAGCCTTCAATCAGTGGCTCTCCAACCGGCGCCTCCGGCAGGAGGGCGAGACCTACGCCGACGAGCTCGGCAGAATGACTGAAGCGGTCAACCGGCGCATCCCGCAATTGCGCTACGCCCCGGCGGAGCGGCAGGGCGTTCACAGGATGGCAAGGGATGTGGCCGCAGGTAGAAACACGAGCGACTCCCAGGTCTATGGCGGTCTTATGTGTGAGATGAAGCTGGACCTGCAGCTCACGAAGCGCGATGGCCTGCGGGTGCTCTCCAGCCCGGAAGCAGAGATCCCGCTGGCCTACCGCCACGAGCTGGCCGACGAGGAGGGCCAGGAGATCCTGCGGCTGCTGGCCCGGCGGTGGACCCGCCCCCAAAGGGTGCTTGTGCGCTTCGACCCCGAGACCAAGACGGTCCTGAGCTACCTGTGCGAGATCGTCCAGCGGGCCAGCGACCGATCATACTTGGGCAAGCGAGGACTCAAGATCCATGTAGATGGAGGAGCGTAGAAGCAACGGCTTCCGCGTCAAGCCCAGCTTCGGCCAGGTCCTCGGCTACTTTTGTACTTTGCGCACAGCAGCGTCGAAGCCGCCTTGTGGCAGGTGAGAACGGGTGAACCAGGGTACCCGGAGCTTCTAGAGCTCGTTTGCGTTGCAAACTTCAAGACCAACAAACACACGTCAGCAAAAACAACCCCGCCCCTAAAGGCAAAGCAGGTTGCACTGTACGGGAGAGCGTCGTCACTCGTGACCAAGCACGCTACAGCAGCTGGCCACGGCGCTAGTTAATTAACCACCGCAAAATGCGGGAGGAAGGAAACATGTGCAATCACACGCTTCAGAGTCAGCGAGGCCTCACTGGAAGATCAAGCTTCACGAAAGAAATCATCAAAGGTAGCATTGAGTAGCGCACTCGCTGCACCCATTCACGATCCGCCTGGAGGAGCTGCTGTGTCCGGAATCGCCCACAACATGTATATGTTGGAAAGCTGTTGTGACGAAAGCTGAGATATCCACTGACCTTTACGATTGTCATCCATAAGCCATATGCCTTCAGGACGGTGCGCGAAAGTCGTGTAGTGACCATTGTGGACTGACGAGCCCATGTGAATGATGCCCGATATCAACCGGTATGGCATGTACTCTATGTCCAGCGAGGTGTCATTAGCAAATTTGGGTATCCGAATGACCTCATCAGGAAGCTGTAGCCGTACCTTGGTTTTACGAACTCTGCCATGTGCATAAGTCATAAGTGTATAGCTGAGGGCGAGCCCCTCGACATTCCCCTTCCCAACCGCAAGGCGAGCATCTACACCGCCTCGCACTGGTATCTAGACGATTACCCCAATGCTCCGGAGCCCATCAGCGATGCACCGATACCCCACACCCAGTTGAATCCCGCAGCCGCTTTTGAAACGGCCGACGAGGGCTACGACGGAGTCCCCTTCCCCCGCCCGCCAAGAGAGTTCACTCGGGCTTCCTGCCAGACTCCGACGACGGAGGCATGGATCCAGGGCAGGCCCTGCGCAACGACGGGCTCGATGCACCGAGGCCGCCGAGCCTCGGAGGCCGCATGAGGGAATCAGGCATTCAAGCCGCGGAAGCGATCATCGCCGGAGGGGCTGCGGGCGCCGCGGCGGCGACCCGAAGCGTGGCCGAGAACCAGACCTTCAACATTTTGAACCGAGGAGGCGACTGGCTCGACAGAACCCTGCGCATCCCCAGGAGGCCGCCGGGACTGGCGCCGCCCCCGGACGAGGTCCCTCCGCCTAATATTATTGAGAGGCCCAGCGAGGTGGAGCCCTTGCTAGAGCGGGCCGGCCAGAGAGCCGCGGAGGCGGAGCGTGCGGCCGCGCAAGACATCGAGGCTTTTGCGACGCAGCAGCTGGCAGAGGCGGAGGCCTCAGAAGGCTTTGCGACTGCAGCCGAAGCCGCGGCGGGCGCTGCCGAAGCAGCAACCGCAGCAGAAGCGGGCGGAGGAGCTCTTGCGCTCCTGGGCGAAGGAGCCCTGGCCACTGCTGGTGCCGTGGGCGCGGCGACGGGAGGGTTGGCGGTGGCTGCTGCAGGTGCAGCCTTGGTCGGAACGGCTTGGGCCATCGAGGGAGGCTTGAACGCGGCCTCCACCCTCACGGGCTGGGGTGCTGCCACAGGAGGCGGCACGGACAGCGATGCGTCGCGGCCGAGCGCGACCACGGACCTTGCGACGCTGAACGGGATGCAGGAATCGGGCGCCGTGGACCACTATTTCATCCAGGAGCAGCGGCGGGCCCAGCGCAGCCAGCCCCAGGTCTTCAGGATCGACACGGACTCAGAGAGCGAGCCGCGGCCCCAAGCACAGCAACGCATCGTGGCCCGCCCGGCGCGGCGGCCCAGGGCCCAGGCCCAAACCCCTTTTGGCCTCAACAACATCCCGATCCCGGTGTCCTCCGGCAGCGACCGCTCCCGCGTCAGCCGGCAGTCCCGCGGCGACCGGGGACCTTTGGGAACGCAGCCGTCCTTCGACGCCCTTCGTCAGGCGAGCGAACCGGAAGCTGCATAGCTATGTAAAGAGAGATGGAGCAGGTTACGCAAGCCGTCAATGACGAGCTCGTGGCCAGTCTCGACTACAAGCTCCAGACGGGGAACACCAACTACATTCAGAGTCGCAAGAGCGTGCAGTACTTTCCGTCGTCCTTGAGCACTTTTTCGCAAAGCACGTCGCGGGTGTGTCGTATACCGATCACAAGCGGGACCGATTTCGTTGATCCTGAATCGATTAAGCTGGCCTTCACCTTCCGGAACACGGACGGCTCCAGCGACATGCTCTGCGGCTCGCCGGACCCCTCGTGTTTCATCGAGCGCATCCAGCTCTTCGCCAACGGGCAGCGGGTCGAGGACGTCAACTACTACGGGCGGTCGTGCTTCATGTACAGCCTTCTCAAGAACGAAGACTGGTGGAAGGACCTGCACTGGGAGGGCCTGCCGGTGGACGCCGGCGGCTGGGCGCAGCCCGTGCAGCCCGGGCAGAAGCGCGATGTGCTCATGACGCCTCATCTCCTCGGCATGTTCAACTGCGGGAAGATGCTACCAAGTCAACTCGGACTCGTCGTTGAAATTGAGTTCGCTGAACCCCAGCAGGCCATGCGCGCCGGCGTGGGCAGTAGTTTGTCGTATCAGATCGAGAACGTGCACCTTTTGGCCGACCAGGTGACCCTTGATAGTGCCCTCCGGGAGAGCTTCGAGCGCATATTGTTGTCCAACAGATCGCTGATTTTCAGCTTCCCGAGCCTCCACGTGCAACAGAGCTCCGTGCCGGCGGGCTCGACGAGCTACAATATCACCGTCGCGAGAGCGTTTACCAAGATGCTGGGAGCCTTTGTGCACTTCAACAAGACGGGCGAGAACCACGTTTCCAACTTCGAGTACCCTGGGGAGGCCTTCCCCAACGTCTCGGCGGCCACGGTCATGGAGGGCCAGCTGCAGCTCGGGGCCATGCAATTCCCCAGAAACAGTGTCAAAAGCATCGCCGAATACCACCACTTCCTCGCCATCATGGCCGGCACCTACGATTCAAAGCTACGAAATATGCGCCTCCCGAACTATGATAACACGCACTTCATTGCCGCGTTCCCCACGGAGCGTGTGCCCAAGCACCCCACCAGCGGTTTGTCGACGAGGAGCGGCGACCTGTGCCGCTTCACATTCAAGTCGATGCTCGCGGACCGCGTGGATCAGTGTTTTGTAGCGCTCGTAAGTCTCCAAATTTGTACGCTCAGCGGCAGTGGCGTGAGTATCCTCGACTGATGATATTGGCGTTTTGAGCGATTTGTTTCGCCTTTTTTGCCCTCTTCGAGCACCTTAGAACACGTCGCAAGCCCAGACCGCCGGCGCAGAGCCCGGGCACTAGATGTAAATGAGTTTGTTTCCCTCCACCCTGACCGGTAGGGTCCTGGACGACGGCACAACGCCCCCGCCAGTCATCGAATTGCAGGGCATCTCCGCCGGGCAGCTCTCCCTCGTCCTGACCCAGTACACCCCCCTGGAAACCACCACCCAAAATACCGTGGACATCGGCACCAACGCCGCAGCCATCGCCGCCCTGCAAGGCCAGGTGGCCGCCCTGCCCGCAGCTCCCGACCTGACCCCTTACGCCCTGGCCGCGGACCTCGCGGCAGCCGAGGGCTCCATCGCAGCCAACGCTTCTGGCTTGGTGGCAGTGAACACAAGCCTGACCCAGGGCCTGGCCACCAAAGCCAACCAGTCGGCCCTGGACGCCCTGCAAGTCGAAGTCAACGGCAAGAGCACCCCCGCTTCGGTGGACCTCAAGCTCAGCAACCATCCCACGACGGCAGCGATGAACAGCAGCATCGCTTCGGCCAACAACGCCACGCTGGCGACTGTTGCGACAACCTACGCGCTTAAAAGCGTGGTGGACCAGCTGGCGATCGATCTGGCGGCCCGGCAAACAGCCGCCGACGTGGACCAGCGAGTCGCCACCGCTCTTTTGGCCTACGTCCAGCAGGCGGCTCTGGACGCCGCGCTGGCGCTCAGAGACGGCCGGCTGGACGGCCACGACGCCGACATCCTGGCGCTGCAGAGCGCGGGGCCCTTCGCCCTGCCCAGCGAGATCACGGCCCTGCAGGCATCCATCGATGCCATCCTGGCAGAGATCGCCACT